AATAAGCACTTTTACAGATAATAGAAGATGTTTGCACTTAGTTTGACGAATATTTTAAAAATTTTAATTTTGAATATCTAGTGAACCTTTCCCAGAGGCGAGATATTGCACTAAGTGTATTTATATTCTCCTTAAATGTGCAATTTTTATCTTATTTGTGCGAATTTTCTTAAATTAATAGTAAAAAGCGGGTTTTGGCATTTCGCGTCATACAGTGACAGTATTTCTCCCTGCAAAAGGAATTAAAGGCTTGTTTTGTATTTGCGACGTTTACCGTCATGGCAACTTTAGGTCATTTAAATAGCCCTTAGTGTATGCATATCTATTGCTCATTCTTTCGCAAAGGCAAAGTAGGTTTTGTTTGTCGTTTACTAACGGTAGCACCTTGATCATCATACATTACTCCGTTAAAGTATGTCCGCACACTTGATAAAGTCTTTTTTATAAAGGAATTATACAATTTACTGCTTTGATTTAAAAAAACAGTGGACGATTTTAGACTTGATGGAACAAATCTATCATAAATAGAGCCGACGAACTCATATTGAGATTCCGTCATAATAAAATGGCATCTGAGATATGGTTCAGATAGATTTGCTTTAAAGACTACGGAACTTTAAAGCGTGGCTGTTTTCTTTCTGCTTTAACTCACTGGTATTATGAGCATAGAATCCATAACCACACATAAAAATACTAAGCATATGTTCACTTAATAGCTTTAAACGTAATTACTAAGCTATATCTCTAAGTAAAAGACCACAACTGGAAAAAACAGGGAAATGGGTGTTAAAATCTCGTTACTGCATTGCACAACTGTCGAAAATAATCGAGAATTTGCCAGATAAGTGCTGTAGCATCGACACGGACACTGTGGTAAAAAGTTTGATTGCATTTTAAAGAATTCACAGTCATTTCCTTGCAAATCCGAATATAATGAAGTTCGTTGGAGGAAACTGATGCAAGTCAACCTAAATGTTTGCCAAATGATGGATAAAATATTCAACTTAACATTCACCTCAAACACCATCCTGAAAACCTCTTCGACAAAGTGAGATGACAGGTAAAATATTTCCGAAACTTTGGGAAACTGTCTCTCCAACAGGTCAGGAAAACAAGGAATGTAAAAACAGTGGGCAGGTTTTATTAGCAACTTTGCAAAGACAGTGGGTTTCAGTGTAGGCTTGGCGTTTACCTATCCATCCTAACTACGTGACTGAATAGGAAACCGCTTTGTTTTCTTTCGGAAGCCCCTGACGCATCCGACCACCAGGATAGACTGATAAACGTCAATTTCACGTTTATGCTTCTCGATAAGAGCTGACAAAACGCGAGCTCCATGTTTCAAGTGGTTAGAGGATCGGACATAAACGCCAACTGACTATACGGATTCAGATTTAGACCTCGAGTACGCTAGCACTGACTTTTGCGGTGTCGCCGCCTGAGAACGCTTCATAAACAAGAAATGGACACCGCATTGTATTTCAATTTACCAGGTATGCATTTGATAGATAGATATGTATTTCATTCGCATATGTGTCGGTATACAACCACAGAATCAAGTCGCCAACGCTTCTCTAGGCCAGTTTATATTTGCTTCCAAGTATGCTTAATGCCGTATAAAACATATGAGTACAGGGCCCCAAAAAAACCACCGAATATACGCACTGCGCAGGTACCGATGACGTGTGTTCTTCCCTTACGTTCATTTCGTTCAATTTATATGTTATACGAAGTGTTGGAATTAGATTTTTCGTACTCTCCGAATCAGTCGGAGGCTTAAGTGCGTGCCTCTCCATTCGAAGACAAATAAATATCCCTTGCCTCAATGCATTATTTTAAAGATTTTAGGTTTGAGCCAGAACAGTTCTACATTTGCTTTGTATTTGGACTTTTCTTCCCAACCCTCCTTAGCCGTGTTTAAATAAACTTGTAAATGCAATCAAACTGGCAGAATCTGAGTTCTTTAGGTGATAGTTATATCCGGATCTTTTATCGGCAGACATAATACTTATGGCGATGAGAAAGCGGCCGCAAGAACCTCCTGGTTTTACAGCGTGCGTTGAAATTTCGAGCAGTGTCTTTCGCTTCCGTCGAACACAGTCCGCAGTATGACAAATCGGTTAGCTTGCCAGAACTGTAGAATATATATGGAGCGGACATTTCAGACATGAATATTTGTGGTGGACATCAGTAGTTTGTTGTATAAGTTCATAAAAGGAGGAAAATTAACGTCACAGTATCCCATGAGCATTAATTTTACGTGAATTAAAAAGTTGGAGTGCTTTTGGATAAAGTTTTCTTAGCATATTCCGACGAACTGAAGTGTGCAAGTTATGCTGGACTAATACAAGTGTTGGCTAAATTACTTCAGAATTTTAGGGTAAGGTGATTCCGTACTAACTGCACAGGTAGTAGTCAAAAGCCCATACACACGTTTTTCACCGACATTCTGCCGCTGCATGACGCAGTTGTGGGGGTGTGCGGCTCGTCAGTGGTCCCCCAGCACTCCTTGTTTGCCTTCTGGTAGATAATCCAATTCAGAAATTGTTACTTTTTAATTTCCTTAGAAATTAACTTCGAACTTGAAATAGACCGGTATATTTAAGGTCTATGGACTCAGACCAAATTTTTTTATGTCTGAGAATATTTTGGCGGAAGTCCATCAGCCACAGCGGATAACCGCGTAATATTAATTAACTGCCGACAGTTAATGAATATGACGCGGTTATCCGCTATGGCTGATGGACTTCAGTCCAAATATTCTGATACATAAAAAAACTTTGGTCTGAGTCCATAGACCTTAAATATGCCGATCTATTTCAAGTTCGCAGTTAATTTCTAAGGAAATTAAAAGCAACAATTACTTGGGAATCATTATATCTCTTAGATATAACTGTTCCCTGAGAAAGTCAAAAACTCACGAAATCACTATGTCGATTTTAATTGCCAATGTCTGTGTCCGTATACAAAGGCCACTTTCACTATAACGCATTAAAAAAATTCCCATGAATTCTTCCGCACAAACCCTCTCCGGTTTGGCTTGAAAGTTAATACATTAAAAAGTAGTTTGGAACACTCGGGGGTCACGTCTCCTGTCATGCGTCCACACAAAATCAGCGGGACATGTATCTGAGCTTTTGGCAAGTGAGGGTGCTGCGCTTTTAGCTAATCCCTCAAACTTAAGTTCATTAACATCACAAATGGCGTAATCGCAACGTCTCAAATTTGCCTAATTTGACGAACTATCCTCACAGGCGACGGACTCCCTTAAATACTCATTACTAATGCTAGACAATCTCTAACGTTTCTCTATTATGCGTGAGCATTTCAGTAGCTTTTGGCATTATGTGTTTAACATGTGCTGTCTCCAATGCGACCTTCTCCAGTCTACCAAGCTCAGTATTGGCTCGTTTTTACCCATTTGGTCTTTTAAATTAAGCTCGGCATTTTCAAGATGATCTAGAGCATCTGAAATTTCGATGAAACGCTTTTTTGTGAATAATACTTCAAAAAGAATGATCAGTTCTTGACGAATTTAATATTTATACTTGAAAGCCTACGGCATCTCTCTAGTGCTGATACGACATTTGTTATTGGCAAAAAACGTCTTCCATTGAATTAAGATACGATGCTTCGGATTCGTTAATGACAATAAGATCGAGGTAATTGACATCGGCAGCAATATTTTGTGACTACAGTAAATCCGATTTCTTTCTTTAGGCATATCGAGTTTGCTCAGCTGTTCACTGAAGTAGTTCTTTATTTTTCGTTTATCATTATCATGTGTCCGTGCTCCGTGACGTCTTTATACAGCTTTTATTGGCAAAAGACGATCTATATAATCTGGGAGGTAAATTTTCTGCAAAGCGATTTGTAGTTCCTTGCCCGCTGTGACTGACAGCGGGCGTAATCACTGCCCTTAACGTTTACAACTCGACATTATGAATGGTTTCAAAGGTAAAATTTACGTATCCTGAGAACCCAGTTATGATTAATTTTTACAGTCCTCCTATAACCATTCATAAAAAGTACCAATAAAGTGCGAAATCCTGATTTCTTTCTGCGATTAGGACAGGCTATTAAAGGTCTCCCTATTGAAATTTAGACTATTAGTTGACAATTGTTGACTTTATGAAAGACTATCCTGTTTGCCGTAAAGGAGAGGACGGACTGCTAGTATGGCGTATGGACACTCTCTCTATCTTCCTCACTAACGCATACTTAATTGTTTGTGGTTGACTTCTGTACGCCGTTAAGCGAGCCAACTTTTAAAAGTATTTTCGATGTCAATGCGCCTATGAACCGAATAGTGTAATTAAAGAATGGACGGCAGTCAATATAGTTAGTCGGATAGAAAATTTGCATGAATAACTCGAGTGCCATCATTTCAAAAATTAGCCAACATAAAAATTTCATGTCCTGTCCCTGAAATGTTTCGAGAAATTTTCAAGCACAGGGCTCTTGGTCTCTGTTATGTGCGAATATGCTCTAAACTACTGGGACACTTAATAAAACTGATTAAATGAGGTGGTCAAGTTTTTAGAATGTGCAAATCCTTATTTTCTGACAATATAATTTTTCTCTTGAAGTGGCCAATAAAAACGCTCTCCTTTAGTGATTTTACAGCCAACATTCAAGCCAATAAAAGATTGTCCAATCAGGGTGCGGCTTGTCCTCGGGGAAATTTCGAAACGGGAGCAGCAGCTGAAGTTTGAAGAAACTTATTTTTTATGAAGTACATTTAAGGGCAAGCACTACCACACTGAGAAGAGTTTTACTCTAAGCTGAATATCAAGTGGATTGGTCCAAGCTGATGTTTGGTAGAACGAACAACATAAAACTGCCCATTTTATCACATCATCTAAGAATTTCTTTGCAATTAATTTTCTTTGGATATATAACACAAATAACCGAGTCTCTATGCTCAGACTGGTCTGCCTGTGCGAAAACTCGCCCATGTCAAATAATTGACAATGTTGCCTGTGAGCTCGACGAGAAAAATGGGTGTCAACCGCGATTTCTTTCACCGGATGATAACACGGAAGTTATATGCAGTGACCGTAAGTCAATCGCTAAAAATGTCCACGTAAAAATAAAGTTCACGAAGTTTTTATTTAGTTAGACGTTTGAAAATACCCGTGCTTACTATATTTCGAGTAAGAGATCATTTTACCTACATCGTCTGATCCGTATGATAGTTATTAATCGAAAACAACAGAAAATCATATCAGTTTCTAATTAGGTAGAATTTTGCAAAACCATTTAATGTTACTTGTGAAATTTAAGGGGGTTCCCAACATCCACGAAGGTCTAAAACAAATTAGAATTTTATTAACGAATCGAAAACGACCTTAAAATCTAAATAGTAAACGGATTGCTATGTTGATTAAAGGTACAACGGACATGCTGTAAAAACCGATCTAATCGATCTAAGAATGTCAAACTGAAGTAATCTGACACGGTATTACGCGAAAATGACGACGGACGAATTCACACATTAAGAAATATAGTCTCATGCTGCGGTTTCGTCGGATCGAATCATTGTTAGTTATCCTACTAGACGGACTAAGACCTGATTTATTATCCAATTGATTTGCTCCCTCACCGGATGTCTACACCGGATTGTTGGTCCAAAAAATATCTCCCAAACACTGTTCTGTTGACATGTTCGAAAGTATAAGCAAAGCGATCAAAAGCTCTGATGCTAAAGGATCAGTCACACTGGCTCGTCAAAACAATAACAATAACAAATAAGTGAAAATTGTGATGACGTGCAAAAATATTGCATTTTATAGATTACGAAAAATCGTTGAATTAAGTAGATTTTTAAAGTTATGATTGGTACCGCTGGTTGCCGCAATAAAATCAGTTTGAACCTCCATAATATTAAGAACAGATTTTCTGCGAAGTCGACAAAACCGTTCAATTTAGAGCTACTTTACTAAGAATGGTTGTAGTTTTCAGAGTTATAAACTAAAGTGGTCTCACCTTACGAGTGATAAACGCTGGGGAAATTATAAGTCATCTGTTTAAAAAACTCTATACGAAATACCCCGCGGTTTTCATTGCTGCATAGCCACTGTTAATTTTTAAACGTTGATTTACTCTAAGAATGACTTGAAAGCTCTTGAAACATCATTAGTAGTGCCCACCGCTGGCATCACAAAAGTTAACTTGGTAGACGTAGAATAATATTTTGCTTTTTTTAAGTTAGCTTGTCTAAGAATACTCCTAAGAACTGAACGCAAACATAAACGAGATTTCTTTAGCAAATCAGTGTTTTTAAGCTGCATTTATAAAAAACTTTGTCTGAGCATCAATTCAAAAATGACTGGAAGCCAGTCTTCATATGACGTTTGATCATATGCGCCGACAATGACTGTTTTCGACTATGTTTTTGGACGCATTTTGTTTTTTAATCATATGACTGCGTCTTTTATATCCTCTTGATTTTTTATCCGCTGAAATATATTTTTGGAAGAAAGGACGATAAAAGCGTCATTCTTAATCTTCTTGGAGAATTATGGTGTTTTGCGCTAAGGATTAATTATGCGCAGCTAATTTACATTGAAGAGGCTGAATGGGATCTCTAATTTCTTTTTCAAAGTAAACTGGCTTTGACTAAAGATCTTCTCTATGCCCTTTCAGCAGATAATCTGCTCATTCCGCACTTTACGTACTTTGGTCAAATTTGCATTTTTCTCATTAGGAAAAACTTCTGAAAATGAAAAATGTCGTGCATAAACAGGAAATCAAGGGAGGACTTCTATACTGTTACTTTCTAACATAATTTGGCAGAATGTAATTCAGTATCGGATTCTTTCATCATCTTGAGTACATTTTAATTTATTTTACCGGTGAACATAAAGCGTTTGAGCATACATTTCACAAGAACTAGAAAGTTGATTTTATCTGTCCTAGACTTCAAAAGTGAATAACGCATCTATTTGTCACAGCGGGAAAATTCTTAAATCAGTCAGTTGACTTCAGAATTGGAGCACTAGACCAGCCAGGTTTTCACCTAACACATGCTGCCATTGCGTAACTAACTTTGTACCAGTAAAGAACATCTCGTTCGTAACCCGTTTGCACAATGATGACTATTTTATGACCAGACTCGAAGGTCCAGCCATATAACAACAACTAAGTAAATGTTGTCGGGTGTTAGTCTTTTATTACCTAATCAGGTAGCAGCTTTAGTATGTGCTAGCAATCATGGATTCGCTGGCAGATAATATGACCAAAGACGGTTTTCGCGGACTTGTGAGAATCAGCATAACCACCCTAAAGGATTAAGCTATTTTCGACAGTTTTCAAACGATTTTTAAGGATGAAAGTAGCATGTTGTCAGAATAACCAAAATTTTCAAAATCGTGCTTGACTTTTAATATCAGTCTACTACGAATTTTCAAGCCGGCATTTTGTATTTTGACCTTTTACTGACCAATGCCTTAATCATTTTAAAAATGAAGCTGTTTGGCGAACAAAAAACGATCACTATTTTGTATCTTCTGCCATATTTCTCGATGGTGATGATGTGTGTGTGCGCTTTAACTGCATCTTTTTTATGCTACAGCATAATTTACCTCGGTTTTTATTTAGATGATCTGCTTTACTGTCCCTCTAATCATGTTAATATATCGTGCCATCAGGATCAACTCATCAAAATATGGTTTGTTACCATTGTCGAACCGAAAACAGAGTTATGCTCATCAGAAAGTGAAAACAGTCCAAGAGGGTAAGTTTTGTTTAATGAAAACTTTTTTTGAAAATCTGTTGTTTCGTTTTTTAATGCGGCTGAGTGCTCAGAACATTTGAAAGAAACACGTACTTTTGGTCAACTTTGAAACGCCGTTATTGTTAAAAATATTTATGCAACTGTTTGGATTTTTTAATCTTAAGAAAAGTGAAAAACCCCTCAAATATTTCAGAAAGGGGCTCTAAATTCCATTGACGCGATATATTAATTGAGGCTATAAATCTTATCAGAATTTGGTAACCCTCGACCTTTGTAAATTTCTACCAAGGTTGCCAACAGAATGCATTTACAATGCATCACAAGAAGATAAATTAAACGGAATTTACAACCTCTGTGAAGGGCGACAAAATTGTAGTTTTTACTGGCATTCTTTACTGAGGACCCGCTGCAAGCAAAGAATGATATGGACCAGTGGAAAGTCTTTAGTCCTACGCATGGAACACCAATGCATTTTTAGTAGGTCCCTTTTGCATTACTATTCTAGTAATTTTAATAAACATTGTGGAAAATATATTTTTAAATGCCTTTCCTTAAACTGCGATTTTTATGTTATCGCAAGACAGTTAAAATCAACCTTATCTAAGGCGTTTATTAAAATGGATCTTGAGTCTAGACGTTGAACCCCATATTTCTACTCATATAGTGCATTGGAATTTGTATTTTTTCCTACGTAAGTATAAGTTCAAGCAGCAAACACAGAGCCAGATTCAAATTTGCATGTAGTTTCATTACTCCTGGTTTAGGTAGAACCGGATATTTAGCCACATAAAAGATAAAATTTAGGTCAGAGTGTATACTTTAATTGGAACAACCATGTATTGTAGAGCTCGTCTGCTAAATCTCATTTCTGTAGCGTGGTATAAACATAAACAACCCAAAACAACGGTAAAACATACAAATTAGGCAGGAGATTAAGAGAGTCTTCTATAAGTTTTTATTTCATCAAACAACAGGGAAGTATAAGGCATTTTGTTAACAATCTTTTAAACCAGGCTGAAAGGTTAGGAGTATACGCAACGTACCTGCTGTAGTTTTTTAAACCTTACAGGAAATAGTCTCTGAATAGAAATTTTCGAAAGCGATTGCAATCGCTCATTTGGTCTCCCCACAAACTTCGAATGGACAACCAGTAAAAGCTCATTGTTGAAGTTAAATAATTTTTCAAAGTCATTGTTTAGATTCCTGCAACAAGAACATTAATATCCGTTAGCCTCGGAAGTAGTCCTGATATTGACCCTCTCTGATGATAAACAGGGCATGCTTTTCCTTAATTTTATCTTTCCGGATAAACGGCTTATGAGCCTTGTTTTTTAATTTCTCATACGCGGGGAAACGGATGCTTAACCTGCTTCTCAACAAAAAGGTCCTCATTTGATAATCTTGCAGTGCATAGTTGGGAAATTAGTTAATTTTCTAAGTCTAATCAGTGCAGGATTCCTACTAACATTTCCCTTTCGATCAGCTAATTTCAAAAGCATTATGTTATTAACAAAGTAGTTTAGTGCCAACGGAAAAGATTGATTTTTTGACTGTAGGGACTTCTGAAAATGTTGATCGACTTCAATTTCTCACCCGCATAATTCAGGTCTACAGAGACCTCCCCGCTAATTATTTGTATGCATTTTATTTCTTTAGATTGTGTCAAAATAACGTTTTGTAGTTGTTTGTTAGAGTGCCGGTTACCTCGCGAAAGTTTAAATTTTGGCCTGCTAATATTTTTCAGACACATTTAAGCAGAAAAGTGTGTCAAGTGTTTTTTGATCTATACCTACTGTCCAACGCAATCTGGGTGCACCAGTAAGACTTCCTATAGGTGGTGTGATCAGAGGTGTGATCTACAAAACAGCAGGCCTCAGAAATGCAGAGAAAGGAGCTAAACACAGTTGTGCCTACGCCATATTACGTGGAAAGGACTCCAGATTACCATCATAATCGGTTCTTCCAACATATATTCTCCTTCTGAAGCATGATTTGGCATTTTGATGGTGCTAAATGGTTTATTTGCCCCAAAAGACTGCAATAATCTAAAAACTGCCAATCTCTCTAATAGTTTTTGAATGCGTCTGATGGATTTTGCGAGTCTACAAAGACTTTACTGTAACACAAAAATATTCGCTAAATTTATGTTAAGGAGTTAAACTTGCGTGAAGTCCCTTTTTAAGTAACGCGCAGTTTGAGTATTGCCATTCATCGTGGAGGACAATGGAAAAGTCTACTGGATGACAAAGAACCGGTCGAATGTTTGAAGTTTTAAAATGATCGCCTTTAGAGGGCTATGGGCATAAGAGAGTTCTGCAAGTAACGTAAAACAGAAACTCCCAAGCCTTGGACAAGTCGAAATGACACCCGATAAAAACGCCAGAAGTAATGCTACCGAGAAGGGACAAAAGATTGTGAGCAACAAGGGGAACGTTATTCACCATGACAAAGGGGTGGGAACGGATTTGAATCGGAACTACCTGTTCCAAGGGAGGATTCCCATAAAGAGGCCCATACGTCTATTGGGGTAGATCGGGAGTTTTCAGTACACTTGTCAAACATGGGACCTTAACGTTTATTTTTCTTAACTAGGCCTCTCGGAAGCAATATTGTGTGCCTGGATTTACTCATCTTTGTATATATAATGACTACTTTATTTAAATTTGAATGTTAGTCACTGCGTCGAACGTAAATATAGTTTGTCTAAGCCGATGCTTCATATTGTTATTCATCGAAATAACATTACTAGCTAAATTAACTGCACCACGGCTTGTATACGGTACGGAAGGGCCACTTAAAATGATTCGGCACTTTTTAAACTAAACTTTGGCCAAATCGACCGAAAAAGTTTCACTGCTCACTCTATTTTTAGCTATCCTACTCTAATGACATTTCATATGCGACGAATTTGCATAAAGTGGGACGGGTGCGAGCGTTCACACCCATTCAACTGCCTCTTGGTACTTTGAACTTCGTCTACTAGTCTGAGCCAACTGAAGTTGACGTCTGCCAGAAGGCGAAGAGTAACTGAAAGCATACACCCATTATTCGCCGTACGAAAATACTCCACCCGGTTAACTAAATCGTGCGTCTGATTGCATGTTAAAGGAGGCAAAAATAGGTGAAAATGCGAAAAGGATATGTCAGAGACACTTAAGGAAGGCCGTGAGTCAGCATTGCAGATCAAATAAATTTCTAGGCGTTTTGACTAAGCAAATCGAATGCCGAAATCGTCTAGCATTTATTTTTGAAAGAGGGCTTTGTAATAAAAATCTATGACATGCAGTTTGTGAAATTAACTTGAAGTGGGTTTATTTCGAATTTCAGATCCTGCCTTCCGTCGTTCATCTGTCCTTTGGAGTCCACTGCTTTGGATTTTCTTTTCTCTGTTATTCGCAGCCGGTGTTTTTGCTGCCGTTATCTGCGCAGACCGTTGTTCTTGTTATAAAGTACGGCGGCGCTACTTGAATAGGAGATATTGGCACACGGTACCATTATTAAGCACAGATGCAGAATTCCTCTGATTTTATCTGTGTCTTCCCTTATTCAAGGAAACCGGATTGCAGATACGTTGTTTGAAGTTGTCCCGTGGTCAAATCGAGCCAGTCTTACCTCGGAATAACTTTCACATCCCCTGCCCGATTTATTATTCTATGCCATTCTGATGAACGCAATCCAATAACATCTCTTGGTTTATATGTACTCTTCAGTTCGTATAAGTGATTATCAGTGACGGTTGTCTAAAATTCTATTTAGAATAAAGATATTGTTTTTTAGTACTTTTGTCGTACAACAAGAGCTACACCCAAAGATTTCACTTTGACGTCGTATAATATTGAAAGTAGAGAAAAATGGGAGTTCTCTTAGTTGACCATTTCAAGATCGAGTGTGATTTAACTCCATAATATAACAACGGGGTAATGTAGGTGTCATCGATTTATATGTGATCAATGAACGAAAATAAGACAGCAACCGCTCAATTTTTTAATATTTTTAGTAACTTCTTACCAGTGATTAAAAAGGACCGTAGGATATTACTTTTAACACTGGAGTTTCTTATTTATGAAAACAAGATATAAAAGGGCCCGAGAAGTGCAGTGAAGTGAAATATAAGAAACAGTGACTGTAAAGCGTAGGTACGCCGCTTGGTCAAAAAGTCCGCAAAAGTAAGTCCCGTAGATTTGGAAGTGTGAAATAAGACGTCAACCGAGTTCACGCTTGCTGGCAAACTGAGGCTACTGCAGATATTTGTCCATTCAGGTATACCTTAGACTTGGAAAAATCTTTGATTCCTTTGAACAACTTTTCAGTAGGCTTCGTAGACCTACGTAAGTGCATTTGGTAAAGGGACGCTCACCGACCGTTTCTACGGAACTCACTCGTTCCGTTGTGCCTTATGGACTCTCTCTCGAGCCCAACCATCAGACGCACAGCGGCGCATGATATAGGTAGAATGATATTACCGAAAAAAACAAGGGAGACTGAAATGGTCATTTCTGGTTTATTATCCGTTGCCTGCGAGTCATGCCCAACCCTCGTCTCCCTTGTCTTTTTCGGTAATGCCATTCTGCCTAAATCATGCACCGTTGTGCGGCTGCTGGTTGGGCTCGAGAGAGCCCGTAAAGCACAAAGGTACGAGTGAGTTCCGTAAGAATGATCGGTGAGCGCCCCTCCAACATTATATATTCCCGATCTAAACCTACAGGACAACGTGACAGTGGCCCAGTGGTAAGAGGCGTTGGACTTCTAACTAACAGGTCACGAGTTCGAGCCTCGGGTGTTCCACACCTCGGGGTTGGATATGACTGGCTGACGATGGTTAATAGGCCAGAAATGGCCATTCCAGTCTCCGTTGTGCTGTAAGCGCCTTTTTTATCTTGCTGATAAGTTCGTTTAAGATGGGGCATGGTTTCAGTTGCTGAGTATTAATTTTTTTTAAACCCTTCGACTTTACTATTAACTGTGTGTATTTTTCTTGCCATCAGACGGATTTAGTTTCCTCTTTAGCTAGGCGATCTTCATTTGCAAGATGAGCGAATTAAAGCGATTTTGCGGAATGGCTTAAGACCGTTTGACGCTATTCCTTGAAGTCACAGAGATCCCGTGCCTTTCAAACGAGGATGACAGTCCGAGCGTCGCGAAGGACGATATCCACTGCTTTTCTGCTCCCTGAGCTAAGAGCAATCGTTTATGGTGGAAGCAAACATGCGAAGCACCAACCAAAATCTGTCCCAGCTCATCCGCCTGAGTCCAGGGCCAAACCAGAGTCAAAAAGTCCGGGTCCGGGATCGGACGCAGTGATTGACAGGGTTAGGCAACCCGTCTGCGCGTACTGC